ATCTCCAGCATCTCCGCCTTGCTGATGTAGCCGTTCCCATCCAGGTCATACATGCTAAAGGCCCACTTAAGCTTCTGCTCCAGCTTGCCCCTCGACGTGACACTCAGGGCTATGATGAACTCTCTAAAGTCTATCGTCCCATCGCCGTTTGCATCGAAGGTGCGGAAGACGTGCTCTGCAAATTTGGAGGCATCCCCATAAGGGAAAAAGTTCCCGTATATTTTCTTGAACTCTTCCATGGATAAGTGGCCACTGGGGCAGTCTCTCAAGAAGCCTTTGTACCATTCCTGGATCTCGTGCTCCGTGAAGTCTGTGCTCTCCAGCAAGTCCTGCATGACTTCAGGGCGAAGCTTGCTGTTCTGTTTCCCCATTCTGGTGGCAGGAGTTCAACTGCAGAAGGAAAAGAAAAATACATAGCATCTGTTTTAGAGCCATCCTTTAGGGTCATGTGATCATCTGGTATTGTTCCTTGGGAAGAGGGAAAAATCGAACCAACTCTATACTAACCCGATAGCTAAACAATATGATGGGATTTGACCAGTCAAAGATGCAGAAAAGTCATGCTAGCCAGAACCAGGAAGAAGGTAAGGGATGGATGGTCAGATGGATGAGTGGATGGATGGATGGATGGATGGATGGGTGGATGGATGGGTGGATGGATGGATGGTCACATGGGTGAATAGATGGTCAGGTAGGCAGATGGATGGTCAGATAGAAAGACATGGGAGAGAGGTAGACAATTCATTCTTGATTTATCAATTTCCAGGAGGTCTAATTTCAAATTCTGTAAGTAGAACTGAAGGAGCAGAAGAGGGAGAGAGACAGAGACAGAGAGATCTTAGCATGTTTCACAGTCATTATGCTGCCATGCAAAGTGTGTCTCACGAACTTCAGGACATCCTAAGTGCTGGAAGAAGGAGAATGAAAACACATGGTGAACCTCCACCTAGCTGCTCCAGTTAGTTAGATCCACAGGGAGTGGCTGGCCACTTTGCATATAGATGGTAAAGAGGAAACATAGCCATGTTCTGTGATTATGGCTTAGGGAACAGGCCAATCTCAGTCTTCTAAATTACAGACAACCTTGTACCTTCTTATCCTAACAGTAGCACATGTCCACAGCCAGGCAGTAACGCATCAAGAAAACCAGTGTCTCCCAATTCCTAACCATTTTGGTGTACGTGTTCCAAGATGGGATGTGGACTTGTTTACATATGTTACTAATAACTAACTCCCAGATTAACTATTTTTTCAACTTGGCAGTGGTACAAAAGTGATATATATTCAGCAGGATTTTGGGCATTGTCTAGGCCAGTGATAATTGATTCTGTGCTCTCTCAGCCGCATGGCAGCCATTGAGCCTCAGCTCTGAGGGCAGCATGTCCATGAGGAGGCTACAGATTGACGTCTTCAGCTTGTGACTCTTCTTGCCCCCAAAAGCTTTATGTGACCAAGGCTCACAAGTATATAAGACAGATATGCAAATGAAACATTTATTTACAACAAACCAGAAATTATTTTATAAACACATACATCTTCCATTTGTTAAAGGCAACAGCAAAATTACCCACTCATGAGATGGGTGTGCTTGTTTGCCTAACACCATCTAATCCGGAGACACGCTGATTCCAGACAAATAGGATGAGGGATGACAGAAGAAAAATACTAAACATCTTTGTTTTCTTTGACTAAACCACTATGCTTTCACTGGAATGGAAACCTTTGTGCATAGAGTAGACTCATTGGAGTTCGCAACATAAAGGAGACTTGAACCCAACTGAGCTGTTTCAGGCAGCCCTCACTGGGCTTGTGTGGTGTGGCAGCCGTGTACATTGTGCCTTCGGAGCCAACTCTGCATCGAAGTCTCACGATGCAACACGGGCAAGGTCTGACAGAAACATAGACTCATTATGTGTTTGATTTTTGAGTTTAAAAAATCAGATTTGCTTACGTGCTTGAGAGTTTTGTCTGTCTGTGCACCCATGTGGGCCTGGTGCCTGGAGAAGTCAGAAGAGGGCATTGGGCCCCTGGAACTGGAGTTTCAGACAGTATTGAGCTGACATAAGGTTGCTGGGAACTGAACTGGGACCCTCTGCATGAGCAGCAAGTGCTCTTAACCCCTGAGCCATCTCTCTAGCCCTTGACTTAATTGTTGGTATTCAGAAGCCTTTTACCTGATGCCAAATTGTTCACCTCCTACACACTCTCCTGCGGCATCTCGTGTGGCGTCCAGACCTGCAGCTGAGAGCTTTGCTCTATAGTGGGCTGGGGTGCCGGGGTGCCAGGCAGGTAAGATGTATTTGATGCGTCTTTAACACAAATCACCATTTCACAACTTACATGGGTTTAGCAGGATTTAGCCCAGCCATACATTAAGGAGTGCTTGTACTTCTTCATATTTTTCCATGAAAAAAAAAAAAAAAAGATTTACCTACTTGTGTGCAATGTGTATTTGGATATGTGTGCCTCTCTGCTCATGGGTGGAGGCCACAGAAACCAGCCAGCGAGTCCCAGCAATCCTCCTGTCTCCATCCTCTCAGGATTGGGTTACGGGTCTGCACTGTTCACACAGGTGCTGGGATCTGAAACTGTGGACCCCATTGCGCAGCAAGTGCTCTTGACTGCAGAGCCATCTCCCTGGCCCCACGTTTCTGTCACTGTGGTGAAAACTCCCCAACAAAAATCAACTCAGGGTGGGAAAGGGTTTGTTTCAGGTCACAGTCCATCACGGAGGGCACCAGGGGAGGCACGAGCAAGGCAGTGAAGCAGAAGCCACGAAGGAATGCTGCTTGCTGGCTGGCATGAGGGCTCAAGCCATCTGCCTAGAGAATGGTGCCGCCCCCAGCGGTCTGGGGCCTCCTGCATCAATCAGCAGCTGAGGCAATCCTCCACAGAAGTACCCACATGCCAATCCGGTCTAGGCAGTCCCTCTCAAAATTGGCTGGAGACTGTCAGGGTGACAGTCAACACTAAACCGGACTTGCCAGCAGGACACATTCCTTCTCATAGAAGAGGCTCTGTCCTTGCATTTTACAGGGTATTTTAATCCCGTGATTTCCCACAGTGGGATATTTATCATCTGTCTCCCTGCTGTTGTCTGCCCTGCAGGCAGGTCATAATGGGGGAGGGGGTGGCTTTGCCTCTCAGGGGCCCATCCCACAGGGCACACTTCGAGCTAAGGACAAAGGAAGGAGTGGGAGACACATCACTCATTGGTAGGCAGAAAGATGACTAATTTCCAGATGGACATGCAGGGTAGTCTCCGAAGAGGAGCCTTTGCCAGAAGGCAGACTGGCTTTCCCGTCACACTAGAAGCTACCAGGTGATTAGAGTCACAACTTGGTCTCAGGGCCTTTGATATGGAGCTGTCTGTCTGAGGCCCCCACTCACAAGAAATTCCTACAGGGCAGCGTTTGAGGCTCCCAGTGCTCAAAACTCTGTAACACAGATAGATTGGGAAACGAGAGGGGGGTGGGTCCTTAGGAATTGCCTGACTGGTTGCTTTTGACTTTCTCAAGTTTTATTTTCTCTGTAATTGACACATGATAACTGTACATATGTGGCTTACAACGTGATGTTTTTATAGATGCCCGCCCCAGTGTGATGATCAGATCAGGCTAATTAGGACACGAGTCATCTCAAACATCCCCCGAAGCCTCTTTTCTGGCTGTTTGGAAACACACAATACACTGTTGTTAATGATGCCCTACTGTGTGGGAGAACAGAGCCTGTCCCCTGGTCTAGCCCTGGCACTCAGTCCCATTCCTTTGTAGAATCCGAGTGCTGCACTGCAAAGGGAACCTGGCTCTGCTTGGGCTCA